GAGCACGGGCCGGGCAGGGCGGGAAAGGGGGGGTGGGTGAGAGCCCCCGCCATTTCAGGCCACATGCCCTCGGCACTGGGAGGGTGCTTTTCCAGGGTCCCCCCTGGAAAAGCACCTTGTTCACGTGCCGATGGGGACAAGGGCCTCTTCCCCACATGCCCTGGCGCATTGGTTGTGAGGGTCTATGGGCAAGGGGGCTTATTTGCATCGGGGTATCCCTTTTAAAAAAGGGGGGCATCCAGATGCTGCCCCCTTGTGAATGAGTAAAGGGGTACTTGTACCACTACTCATTCACTAAAGGTTTAAATTTAATAAACACACCAGACATTTAAAAAAATCCTTTAATTGTACAAAAAACACAATGGGGGGAATTTATCAAAACTGGAGCAGACAAAATCTGGAGCAGTTGCCCATCGCAACCAATCAGCTTCTCTCTTCAGTCTGTTCAGTTAAGATTTGAAAATGAAAGAGAGAAGCTGATTGGCTACCATGCACAGCTGCTCCACATTTTGTCTGCTCCAGTTTTGATAAATTCCCCTCAATGATTTTTGACACTTCCTTTATTTAAAAAAATCCCAAAAATTGATCCAACTACGTCAACCACGACATCCGGCATTGTTCATGACAATGACAACAACTCATGAAATGAGAAAAATCCCGATGCCCGCCGTCCCGTCCGCACGCAGCGAACTCCCGCCGCAAAATTACATTCTGACAGATGCCGGCAAAATATAAACAATTGGGTGGAGCTAGTGGTGACATCACCGCTAGCTCTGCCCAACTATTTACTTTTGTCAGGCACCTGTCAGAGTCTTCCCACAGTCAGCCTCCTGAGCCCTCAGAAGGGCTGCTGTATTGGCTATTCCCAGACGTGATGTCATGACAGCCTTTCCCTGCCTTTGGCTGCTGTACGGGCTATTGTGAATTCGACTCCTTTGTGCATAACCCCCTAAGCTTATAAACTAGCAATTAAGCGTATAGTATATTACAATTTTAAATATACCAAAACTCAGATCAATCACTATTTCAAATAAAGAAATGTAAATTTAAACCAGCCTAGGAAATACGTCAGGGATTTGTGCCCAATAAAAAGAGTATTCACCAGGTTCTTCCAGTAGTGGGAGTCCAGGAAGGCAGTGGTTTCAGCCAGGAAGTCCATTAAGCAGCCTTTTTCTCCAGGAATTCAGTTTGCATCCAATGTAGTGAGTCAGTGCCCCAGAAAGTGTGTGTCAAAGACCTCAGGAAGTGTGTGTGCCTCAAAAGACCAAAAAAAAATACCTCTTCTCTCTCTCCTCTCCGCTAAAGTACCCTTGTCATGTTTGTTTGTGACATCAGCAGCGCTTGTTAATTGGGCAGTTCTAAGTATGGCAACCTCTGTCCCGTTGGCTTAGGGTATTTATGATAATTGCTTGTATTTGTTTGGAGTGTGTCTATGTAATATCATACCTGGTCAATAGGGGTCACTGGCTACCTTGTAAACTTCCTAAGAAAAAGCTTTTGTTATATTATTTATTGATATGAATGTATCCGTCTCAATAGATATATACTTTGAGTGGAATTTATCAAAACTGGAGCAGACAAAATCTGGAGCAACTTTGCATGGCAGCCAATCAGCTTCTCTCTTTCATTTTCAAACCTTAACTGAACAAACTGAAGAGAGAAGCTGATTGGTTGCCCTGGGCAACTGCTCCAGATTTTATATGCTCCAGTTTTGATAAATTCCCATCTTTGTCCTATAATGTAAGTCATAAATATTCTATATGGTTCTTGGGATGAATGAGTGTCAGTCTTCTAATATTTTGTGGGCTGGTTTCTCAATATATGATTTATTTTAAATATTTTAAACTTTTACCCAACATATATCAACACAATATAGCCCTGCAACATTAACTTTACATCTTGATTACTCATTTTCCATATAACATTTATTTAGTGATAGATTTTATGTTATCCCATTAAGGCGAAACAAAAACACCTGATCTGGGGAAAGAAGAAAATTCCTTCAAAATCCTCAATGGCTTCATACCATTGAATGATTAGTACCACGTCCTAGTTTCATGAGCCTAAGTTTAATTTCAGGCTAATGTTTTCCTTGAGTTTATTCAGTAGTCATAAAATCTAAAGTTGTCTAGTCTCTGCATTTAAAAACAATGGAAGCTTGAATTTCAGTTATCCTGAGTTCTTGGATACTTTGTGAGATTTCCTCTTCCCAGGTTAACTGGTAAATTTAAAAACACTGAGGGGAATTTATGAAAACTGGAGCAGGCAAAATCTGGAGCAGTTGCCTATCGCAACCAATCAGCTGATTGGTTGCCGTGCACGTTTGCTCCAGATTTTGTCTGCTCCAGTTTTTATAAATTCCCCTCAGTGTCTTTTGTCTTCGTAAGGTTTCATTAGCTGTATGCTGAATAGGTAAATTCCACCAGACCTGTTTTTTTATGAGAGAAATGTTTATTTTCTAAACTTGGAGAGTTTTAATTTATGATCTAGTTAAACATCTCTTGTAGACACAAGAAAGTATCATATTCAGGTGTCTTATTTGAATCTCAATATAATGAAGTGAAAGTTCACTTCATCTGATCTAATCTGATCTAATTCTGTGGGAAAGGCACTGAGTTGTATATACATTTGGCAGCCATTTTGTTAATTTCCTTTCCTATAGTGTTAATTAGCTTGAATCATATTATGTTATGTCATAGTTTGTAAAAGAACTGACTGAGGGCCAGATGAAATATCATAAAGTGCTTTATTCCTCCTGTCTCACACTCCTGGCTCTTTCTGATTGGGTGGGGGCTGGTGAAACCCTCTAGAAGGCCCACAAAAAGTTGCTGCACAAGGCAGCTGGAGCTCGCCTTTAGCATCAAGAAAAGAACATCTGCCAAGAGACTTGTTTCTAGACAGCCAAATCTCAGATCCATCTTATGCTTCATCAACTTGACTCTGCTGGAATCCATAGAACTCAGGACTTTGCTAAGTACTTCATTCTTATTTCCTTTTTGGTTTGCTGTATTATTTGCCTGTTCTCTGTATATTTTTGCACATTTTCCTTTACTTAAAATAATCCTGTTAAGCTATTAATGTTAAGCTTTAGCTCTATGCTCTAAATAAGGATCCTTGTCTCTGTGTAGAGCACTAAATATTGTAAAACCTGTTATATTCTCGTCTGAAGGCACAGCAAGCATCACAGGTATTGCTTAAAGTTAGAATTGCCACAGCATTTGCAGGGAACAGTGTGTGTTTCCATTAAAATGTGGTGGCAGCTATTGTTTGTGTGTGTAAAGGGATAACTGTAGAGTTAACCAACCCCAATAACGATTGCTGTCAGTCTGCTGGCCTTAGATTTTTGTCCTGCAAGCTGGAAAATCTCTGTGCAGGGTGAGGCTGATAGTGGTATCATCACATATTGGTGGCAGCAGTGAGATCTGACCTGCCGTTTGCCGCAGAAGGATCAGGATTGCAGCTGGTAACAGTACCTACCTGCCCAAAATACAATTTAAATTTTTGAGGACAAATGTGACACATGCCAACCCAGCATGTTAATTGTCCTTTTCCTGGCATGTGGTAGAGCTGTGTGAAGCTGTGTGCTCACCCTTCCCAGTCCCCCTGCATATGGCGCTATTTACTTCTTTCCACTCCAGTACTGCTCTTTTCTTATGGCCCTGCCCACCCTGCTTCCCCTTCAGTGTATACCTCCATCTCCTTCTCTCCTTCCAATCCTGCCCGGAACATCAGGCCCCACCCACTCAGGCCCCACTGTCTCCCTCCCCCACCTGTGTGAAGACATCAGAGGGGCGACAAACAAGGAATGGACATAGCCAGGCACTGTGGAATACAGCTCAGCTGCACAGGCTGAATGTAGGTACCGTAGCTTTGTGACAGCAGTCCACCTTGTCCCGGCCCTGATCCCCCCACCCTCAGAGTATGATTTGTCTGATTTGTGTCTAATTGTGTAGCTATTTTGCTTCAAAAATGTCCCTCACTGTATTTTCTGTCAATTTTAATTTTGAAGGTTACAAAACAGGAACTCTTTCGACCATTTCTTCTCTGATAAAACCTTTTTTCCACAGGATGAACCAAAATTTAAAATTCTATGACTAAGTGAAATGCCTAAGAAAAGTCCCTTCTTGTATTTCCAATGTCATTGTTTGAACAAATAAAAAAGCTGCATGCTTATTTTGGAGTGCTGTCATCTTTTTATTAATATTGTGTTCCACATGATGGCTTGATTAAGGTTCAAGCTTTAGAACTTGAAACATTGCTCAATGCTCTTGCTGTACTGCTATGGACTGTATAAATTACCTGGTAATTTTAACAAAAAAGAAAATGTTCATTGTTGTTTATTATTCATTGTTCAGCATTTATATTGCTATTGCTAAAACTGTCTCTTAAAACATGAAGAAATTCCTGCTAAGGTCCCATGAGAAGTCATGTCCGAATTCAAATATGGTTACCTGATCCACAGTATTATGCAATTTATCCATGATGCACAGCAGAGTTCTGGCATCAGTCCTGAACCCGCTTCTGAATTAGCCAAAGAAAACATTATTACTAAGGAAATAGTGTTCATTTGTCTTTCATCCTGTTTTAACAATGCTAGAAAAATTGCTTAGTGAATTAGTCATAAAGGTTATTTACGGGTTGTATATTTTGGAAAGGATTACATTTTTATTAATTTTGCCACTTTTCCTGTTTTATACAGCTCCAAAACAGATCCTATTACCGGAGCAGTGAAAAATACCAAATACCACCAGTTATAGTAAGTACAATCAGGTATACTTTCTCTCATATATGTAGTATATATAGTATATATATATACTTTGTGGCCACTTTAGTATCCAGGTACCAACAAGAGAAAGCATTTGTTTAGCTACAACACTCATGTACACCGTGGCATTCAAATTATTCTTTATTGATATAAGGTGCCTAAAGTGTACCACCACCCAGAAATGAAACAAGACTGGATGGATCCATGGATTAATGCTATGGGGTTGATTTATTAAAGGACTGCTAAATTATGACCCTACTGAAGACTAAGATGGTTATTCACTATGGAGCCGAAGGATCCAGCCGTAGCTTCGGCTGATCCTTCGGCTCGCTTCGGCCGTCTGAGCACTTCGGTTCAGTTGAACCAAAGGGCTGCTGTACGGGCTATTCACATTAGCCTGTATAGCAACTGATGGCAGCCGAGCGAAGGCATATGCATTGGCTCAGGGGCTGACTGGCAACTTTTAGCCCAGGGGGCAAGTACATCCAGAGGCCCATGGTGCAGCAACTTGGCCCCCCTCCTGCTCTGCCTCTTCCCTGGACGCCCCTGTCTGCCACTTTTGCCATCCTTGTAACAGTAGTGTGAATGTATTTATCGGTTTAGGAAATGTAAAGCACACTGGTAAGGGGAGGGATGCCCCGTCAGGGCTCTGCGCGTGAATGACTGCTGCGCCCCTGGTAGTTCTGCCACTAACTCAGAAATACATTGTACAGCATTGCAGAATGGCATTGGCTATAGAGAACTACAATTCCAAGAAATACATTACACAACAATGCAGAATACCATCAGCTATAGCGGACTATAAATCCCAGCAATACCATTATACAGCAATGCAGAACAACATCAGCTATAGAGGACTACAAATCCCAGCAATAATACATTACACAGCGCAATGCAGAATAATATGAAGCGACATACTCTGTTGCTCTGGGTTCTCCGCCTGATGTCTAAAGGGTCTCAGGATGGTTGTGCGGGCTCTCACCAGGGGTCCAGAGAGTTTCACGG